GCGTGATCAGCGCGCCGTGAGCTACTTCTCTTGTTTACGTTAGCTGCACCTCTGCGGGGTTCCCGATCATCAGTCCCATCTCATCAGCAGCTGAGCGAGGCTCATCCAAGATCACGTAAGCCAGCATGTGGAAACAGCGGACAGCGGATCCTGCTCTCCAACACACACTGTGCTCCTCTGCTCCAGACTGCATGTTCTGCTCGTGGTCCCTGACCACACCTGGGGTCTGCTTTCCTCCATTCAGCTTCCCTGGGTTCTGCCCAACTCATGACCAGTTCAAACCCCACCTTCCCTCTGAAGTCTTTCTTAAAGGCCTGCAATGACCCTGCCTTCTACAGCCTCTGACACACAAGCTTAAATGCCACATGATTTCTCCTCTGTGAGAAACCCAAACAGGAACATTTTAAAGAGAAAAATATAAGACAATAGGAAACAAGGAGATAGATCTTTTGCAAATAGGAAGGGGACCAAGAGATGGGGGACAGAGGATACAGGGACAGGAGAAGGGCAGTAAAAAGAACTAAGATGCATTATGCAGAAGCTCCCCATGATGAATGTAATTACTATGTGCCATAAACATGGACTAGTAAAAATTTAAAAAGTTAAAAAAAAACTTTCACAGGCATCTGGCTCTACTGCAGCTCAGCTTTTTTTTTTTGGTGGGGGCGGCTGGAATTAAGCCAGTGGCTTTTGCACTGAGCTACATTCCCAGTTCTTTACAAAATTTTTTGTATTTGAAGATAGGCCTTACTAATACTAATAGTTGCCCAGGCTGGGCTGGGCTTAAAGTTTTGATCTTTCTGCCTCAGCCTACCAGAGCACTGCAATTACAGGCCTGTGCCATCACACCCAGCCTCAGCAACTTCAAGCTCTGTCTTATGGTGATGGTTTAGGTAACGTCCTTCAGCGCATGTTTCTCAAGTTACCAACTAGACGGCATAGCAGGGGTCACCTGAGAGAGGCCAGATAGTAAATATTTCAGGCTTGCAGGTGAGCAGGACTCTGCTGCTCAGCCCTGAATGAGTGTGGCTGGGTGCCAATGAGGACACAAAATTGGAGCTGCACATAACTTCTATGAATTATGAAATATACTTCTTTTAAATTTCAAAATACTGAAAAAATGTACAACACATGTAGTCCGCATAAACATGGAGAGCCAGGCGGCATGGGCTGGGACTGGCAGTTTGCTGAGGCCTGCTGTAGACTCATAGGCCAGGCCATATCCGTCTTATTCGTTTTCCTCACTGGCTAGGGAGGATTTCAGAGTGACACGAGTCTGAATTCGAGCTGCAGCTGTACTCTGCACTGTACTCAATAAGCACTCATACTTAGCTGTTCTCTTACCCCTCTGTAAATTATCTTTCATACTGGTGCTGCTCAGTGTTGATCTCCGTTGTTAGCCCAGTGACACAGTGTTATCAGGAGGCTCACTGTGGAACAGGTAGTTGGGCCTCATCAGGGAGACTGCAAGGATTTAAATCCACACAGTCATTCTGAGCTTCCCAGAAGCCCACCTGCACACAGGTGAGTCTCTGCCCCAACTGCATCAGGCTGGCAACTTGAGACTTCCTGTCTTGGTCATGGCTGCCTACGAGCTATACTGTGGGAGGCTCTATGCTCTTCCATCTCCGTGTTTCCGACGGACTCAGGACATGGGGCAGAAGTCACATTCAGAATTTAATACCCCGCTGTATTTTGTTTAAAAATTCATTATGCACAATATAACATTGGGGTTCCAAAGTCATTTTTTGTTTGCTTGTTTTTGTGGTACTGGGGATTGAAGCCAAGCCCTTTGCACTGAGCTACATCCCCAGTCCTTTTTTTTATTTTTTATTTTGGGACAGGGTCTTACCAAGTTGCTAAGTTGCCCAGGCTGGGCTCAAACTTGATCATCCTGCCTCAGCCTCCCAGAGTGCTTGAATTACAGACACACAGCATCATGTTAGCCTTCTGTTTATTTCTGAGGTAGTCTACAAACCTACAAATTCACTGTGCTCACTTGGCCAATATTTTGAAAGTGGCACCTTCACCTAACTCTAATTTAACCAGAAGCTGGAGTACTGGGCCTCCTCTCTCCTCTAGCATGGCCCCTAAGCGATTCTAGGAGCAGCCAGAGATCACTTTATCCTCTGGCCTCTCTGTGCTCTGGTTAGTTGCGATTTGCCTTCTCCCGGCTACCAACTGCCAACCCTCTGAGTGGCTCGGCCCCCGGAAGCCTCTGGCCCTGAGGCAGAAGGTAAACTATTTTGTAAGTGGCCTTCCACAAACCGCTGCTTCTAAATAATTTAAATCATCTTTAAAACACATAGTTCAAATTGTAATTTAATTCACTGGGAATGAATAGGGAAAGTGGCAGGAACAGCGTATGTAGTTTGAAGCTAATTGAAACAGTACATAAATATCACTGAAAACTTTTCTAGTGTACAGTCAAAACTTCAGGTCCCCTCAGGTCCCTGCCATGTGCATGCTAACTGATACAAAGATAATGTTCTGAGAGAGCAGTGGTGGTGGTCTCATTACTTTTGCACAGCTCCTTCTGAGACAAGGATCGCTGGCATGAACATAAGTAAATTTTAAAGATGTGCTTTGGCCTTAAAAAGCTTTGAATTACCTCCTCCCCTGTTGGTTTAGCTCCTTAAAGAAACCAAGCAAACATGTGGCCCTAAAACATCATTAGGTCAAAGTGGTAAGAAAAGGGTAACACGCTGGCCAGCAACAGTTCTTTGTAGGGTTGGTTTAAGGTTAAGGACAATGTATGAGAAGTATATTGAGTTCCTAAGAAGAAAAACCTCAAAACACACTGCCTATCATTAAAGTGTTTTAAGTTCTCTATAAAAATAACATATTATTTCTCTAATTATAGAGGCCTCAAACAGTGAAGGGGGAAAAACTGTTCTTTCCAAAACAGAAGTATTTTTCCACTATTTCTAAACCTATCAATTTTGAAAGCATTCAGTAGTTTCTTTGACTCTAGGACTCTTTAAAGGAAAGTACTGATGGTACAACTGGATACCACGAGGCACAAGTTCTGTGTGCTCGGTCTTAATCATGGTTGGTTCCCGTTAATTGCTATTTTTTTCAATTGTTATATTTTTTAAAGTACAAAAACGGTTTTATCAGCTAAACTAAAAAGGCATTTTATGGGGAATCCACAGTAATTTTGGTGAGCAGGAAATATTAGGATTAGCGGACCCTAGACTGCAGAGTATGCACTTGTATAATGTACCCCATATTCCCACAGCTGCCCCATGAACCTGGGGCTGGCCTCTCACAAAGGAGGACACCAAGTCAGCAGGAGACTGAAACAGCTGGAAATGACTGCAGCGGGGGCCTCACTTCAGGACCTTTTGCTTGTGTAGAACTTATCTGATTGCACAGTACAGAACAGTTCGGAGCCCGGACTCTACAAGTGTCCAGGCTTCAGCCTGCATTTTGTCCTTTGTGTGGCTTTGGGACTTCAGACAAGTCACTTACTGCACTGCCATTTGTTCAAATGGAGACAGGAAAATTATCTACACTGTGTAAAGTTATTGAAAGGGTAGAAGGTGAGTGATAGTTACATGAAATATATTTTTATCATTACATCCTTGTTCCTTTGCTTTATTTCTTTTGAAAGAAAAAGTTAGGAAGGAAAAACACCTAAGAACAGACCATTTTGATGATCAGTTTGTAACAAGACATCAGATCGAGGCGCCTTCCTCTAACAGAAGATGGAAACTATTTGTATTCTTAGCAACAGAAGTTTCTAGAGCTCCCATTTCCAACCAGCTAGATGAGTCTGCAGCACTGGGAGGACTGGGTGACCTCCTTAAACTGGCAGGGGCAGGCTGGGCGATGCGGGCACCTCACCGAGAAGGGCTCTTCTTTCGCATCGCTTGGATTGGAAGGAGGGCTCAGTGGAGGGCAGACAGATGCTCCTGCATCTATCCAGCCTGGGTTTTCCCGGGTCAGTGTGCACCGCCCAGCGTGCGTCTGCCCAGAGGACAGGTGAATGAGCCAGGCCTCAAGGGGGCTTGAATGTCATCCCTCTGGCTGAGCTTCTGCAATCATCTGACTGTGACATGGCACTGAGAAGCCCAACAACCCAGAAGAAGAAAATAAAAACCAAACCAAGCAACACCCACAGGGGAAAATTCCCTCCTACTTCACAGCCTAAAACCCCAAACAGCTGCTGCTCCCGTGTCAAATCACCAACACAAACACTCAGGGTGCTGAGGCGGGTGGGGCAGGGCGCAAGGCACTCTCCTAGAAAGAATCAATGGCTTCAGAGCCTCAGCAAACTTCCTTTCCTCATCAGTAACAGTCTGCTAAAGGTCATTCACTTTCCAAAATGAGATATAAAACAGAAGGCAACAGGCCCAATGGGCAGGTGGAGGCCTTAGGTAAACAGGCAGCTGCATGCTGCCGTCACGTGGGACGGAGGTGTGAAGGAGCCCGGAGAAGGCCACACTGCGGTGCTCTGAGCTCATTTAACTTTGTGGCCTAAACCAAGAACTCCTTGGGGGTCACACAGAAGTCAGCTGAAGCAGGAAAAGGAGAGCAAGAGCAACGTGTGTGTGTGTGTGTGTGTGTGTGTGTGTGAGAGAGAGAGAGAGAGAGAGAGAGAGAGAGAGAGAGAGAGAGAGAGACCGACAGACAGACAGACAGACAGGAGGTTTCAAAATGAGCCCGTGCATGTGAGGACTTGCTTCTTGTGGACTCCTCTCTTGCTGATGTTTCTGCCCACAACATCCCGTTTACCCAGAGTAAGCTGAAGTGGCGGCACTGGAAGGGACTAGCTCGCTGCGAGATGTGGAAGCCCTTGTCTGTGATGATCACTCACAGAGACATGCTCACAGGACCCACCTAATACCTTGAAGCAGGCCAGGGAAGAGGTCAGACAGCCTGTTTCTGCTTCCCTCAAAACAGCATCCCAAAAGGTTTTTTGGGAGCTACTTCAAGACAACCTGAACAGAATTCAACATATGCACTTGGATGAGCCTCGGGCCCTTGGGACTTACCCGAACTACATAGTTGAATCTTCTGGAATCCAGAATGGCAGTGGAGAAGTCCAGTCTGTTGAAAGCTTCCCCCAATGTGCAATAACCATGGCGCTGGATGGGAAACAAGGCAGCCATGTGACTCCTGCCACGCGGCAGTCATTCTCTAGAATGACCCAACCAGACTGCCAGACACGCTGGATGCCTGTCTTAGGTGATCTGGGCACTGGCTTCTTTCCTGCATGGTGAATCCCTGGGACCCATGAGACGGGCAACAAAGCCTGCAGCTACTTTTGATCTGGTCAAACCCATGAAATGTCCCCTTTTGTGACCTGTACCAGTTGGGTGCATGCTCTCTGCATGGGCTACTGTGTGAAAATATATCACATGATGTGTGAGGTCATGAGGGCTTGGGATAGTAACGTATTCTGGGGAGGAGGACGTGGCCCACCTGTGGCAACCATGTCATCACCTGACTTGCATTGATAGTGCTTCTTTTACTGTGGTTGTCACAAGTGGGGTTGTTTTTTAAAAGGCTTCATGAAGAAGCAAAAGAAGCTTTGATGTTTATCTATGACCGCACAAAGAATCAGGAGTACAGCTCAACAGTCCTGGCTCTGGTCTGGCCTCTTAGTGGTTTCAGATTTATCACTGACCCTCTCTGGACGTCCGATTACAGGGAGAAGTAGATATTCTCCAAACCTGGTCCCTGATGGCAACAGAAACCCCACCATTCTGTCCTACTGCCTAGCTTCCTAGCTATCTGAATGCCTGCGCTGGGAGAAAATGCATACAAAAGGGTTTTATCAAATACCACACAAATGCAGTTGCCCTGTTTTCCTACTGGGCAGACACAGAAAACTGCTAGATTTAGTGACTGGTCCTCCCAGGACTATACCTGGACCAAGTTGAAGTCAGGATGGATCTTAGAACAGAGGGAGGTACTGTCTTGTGGGCAAGTCCAGGGCTTATAATAATACCATTGAGATAGGCGTATTAATCCTGGGAAAAACTTCCATATATATTATCTCACTGAAGACTGGGGGGTCCACAAAACCATTTGTCTTCACTTTCTCTGTATCCCAATCTCTGATGGCTGGCTAGGCATAGGCCTATCACTGCCACCCACATCCCTGAGGACAGCTGGGCCAGGAAGTGATACTGTTTCCCAATTTGTAGCCCATTCTTTCGGAGTGCTACAGGCTAAACATGATGGTTTGTTAGTGCTCACCTCTTTAGTGCTTCCTTTGTGAACATAGATCCACTTTTCTTGGTGGAAATCTGCAGAGATAAAATAAAACAAAAACCATGCCTTTAAAATGTGCAACATGCCCAAGATTTTAAACATGGGTCTTTTTCATTTATTCCAAAGTTTGAAAAGCTTCAACAAAAATTAGAAAGACTCTACTGACAATATAAGAGGACTCAAAATTTTAATTTCTGCAATGAAATGAAGTTCTACAGTATTTCTATCAATAAATACTGAAGCTATAATCTCTCTTGTCTGACATATTTCGAATAGTTGACAGTCAAATTTAGTATACCAAAGATAAAAAAAAACCCAAAAACCTAACACCTAAGTACAAGTGTGTTTTAAACACCAAATCTAAAGCTTATAGAAAGCCATGAAAGTAGGAAGAGAACAGATATCTAGGCAGAGTGGTGCATGCCTGTAATTCCAGCACTCAGTAGGCTGAGGCAGGAAGATTGCTGTGAGTTCGAGGCCAACCTGGGCTACATAGTGAGTTTAAAGCCAGCTTGAACTACATAGTGAGACCCTGTCTAAAAACAAACAAAAAACAGAACAGGTAACGTGGAGAAAAAATATAGAACAAATGGATTAAACTAAAATAATTTGTAATTTATGCATAATAAAACTTTACATACTCTGCTAATGCTTACATTCAGCATCTAGGAATACTAATAATATTTATACAAGGAAAGTAAGAGCCAAAGCCTTGAACCAGTTAAAAATCAAAGCACACGGTGGCTCGGACTGAGCTGACCATGTCACTTGTAATAACTGTATCACTTACCTCAAAAACAAGTGAGAAGCAGAAGAGAAATGCCCTCTCTAGCAAACGAATGACTTATAAACAAGGCTATGAAAAGCGTGTGCATCTCACTTGTAAAATGCACAGCTAGGTTTCTGGGTGCAAAGAGCCTGGTGCTTCTGCCAGCGACACAGTAAACATTAAGAAAGATGCCTAACAGGGAGAACCAATCCCTGACCGCCCCCCCCCCCCCCCCCGTACTGGGAATTGAACTCACGACCTTGCACTTGCCAGGCAGGCGCTGTGCCGCTGAGCTAAATCCCCAGCCCCCCTGACGGTCTTCAAACAACTTTCCTCTCAAGTCTGAGGCAAACGGCTTACATTGAGTTTTGGTTTTGCTATTCAGTATGTCCTTCTTTCTCTTCTTGGCTGCAACATCGTAATTCAGGCTGTTGAAAAGATTCTCCTTATTGTACACCTCCTTGCTGCAGTAACTGTGAACGCAGAAGACAGGAGAGGGTGAGATACTACAGCTACACTTCAGCATGTGCTCTTTCTTTCTTTGTGTGTGTCCAGATTATTTTATTTAGAATAATCTCATAAAGGTTCATCTAGATTGCAGCATTATCAGAACTTCATTCTTTTGTAGTTATCTTGACTTTTTTTTTGTCTTTTTGAGATGAGGTCTCACTATGCAGTTTAGGCTGGCCTTGAGCTCACTTTGTAGCCCTGGCTAGTCTTGAATGTGCCACGATCCTCCTGACTCAGCCTCCCGAGTGCTGGGATTACAGACGTGTGCCACCACACCTGGCAGTTATTTTGACTTTTGAATGTTTTAAATTAATTACAGTAAGTCTCTGACTTATGAGTGAGTTCCATTCTGGAAGAATGTTCCTAAGTTGGATTCTTGCTAAGTCCCACAAAATGAGCCTTACACAGCAAGCCTTGACACAAGTAGATGATGTATATTGCCTTGGGCTTCCCAGCAGTCCCCTCCACATCACCACTGCTTTTCCTCTTGCTTCTGGAATCTGGGCTCCGGGAGAGACCTATACTGCTACACACTACCGCACTGTACATAAACACAAAGCAGCACAACTGTGCTAACATCCGGCAGTCGTGTGAGCTACTCCTGAGATGTATTTGCATCTATGAATGTTCATAATGCAAGCTCACAACTCGAATGTTCATAAATCCAGGACTTACTGTAATTAATTAATTGATTATTTTTGGGATGGGGTCTCTGTTGTCCAGGCTGGCCTCCCTCAGCCTTCTGGGCTCACGTGATCCTCCCACCTCAGCCTCCCAAAAAAGCACTGGTGAACACGTGCTCTTTCTAAGAATTGCTCACTGGACTCTAAAACATCAGCCGCACATCTTCTGAAATGTAAGATAATCACTCAGAAATCCGTACAGGCACAGATGTCTCTTTTACCAGGAAGGCAGGGACGGGGCTCCTGCCTCTTGGAGCTTTCCCACAGGCTTGCCATTGTAAGGGGACACAGCACTGCACTTCAGCCCAGAGCAAGGCAGGGTACTGTCGTGCTACTTTAAACAAAAGTGACGGGCAGAGCTGAGTCCTGGTGCCCTTGTACCACACACAATGTCTTCATTTTGCAAAAGCATCTATTCCACGACACTGCTGCTTTTTTGAAAACAGCTTTATTGAGATACAATTTACATACCATGCAATTCTCCTGTTTATAGGGCACCCAAGTTGGTTTTAACCAGCACGCTGCTATCATAGCTTTAAAACATAATTATGTTTCCAAGCATCTGACTTATGTTGTAACAGAATCACTTATAGCCATGGTCCAGTGGATGGTACTGCTTGTTTATATTCTCTAACCCAAGGAGCCACATGGTGAGATGAAGACCCTGGGTATTTACCAGTTCATAATTCATTAAGTTCAGAAGGGCTAGAAAGTCACTGAGTGCAATGGTCCAACTCACAGGCTGCTGAAGGACAGGCAGGCTCCGGCTGGGCCTGGTACACATCTCCCTCAGCAGGCTGAGCTACTGTGCATGCGTGTGTGCGTGTGTGCATGTGTGCGTGCGTGATTTTTATTCTTCTGTACAGTGTGACTTCTAAGTAAATCTCAGGACGGTTCTCACAGTAGGGATTCAGGAGAAACACCTTGATCCCCATGAGGTACACAGGGCAGGATTTATAACGACAACTGCTGAGGCATAAATTAGGACATTTTGCTGGCACCACCAGTATAGAGTCCTTCTGCTGAATTAAAATGTGATTTTATTTATATCTTTTTTTGGACTTGCACCTGTTGGGTAAAATGAAATCTCCCTGTTCTTCTCTATCCCATGCCTGTGCACATGGTAGAAAGGGGTCTGAAACAACTTCTCATAGCCTTCTGCTACAACAGTTTCTCATGCAGCCTTCCTCAGTGTAAGCATCTTCTAAAATGCTCACAGCCACGGCCAACAGTGTCCTTGAGGCTGCTTTTTTGGACCCCTGGGGGAAACTTGGTGGCTCATCAATCTCTTATTAATTTTCCTTCTTAAAGGTCTGCTTAAGGCCAATTACTTAGCCTTCTCCTTCTTACTCAGGGAGATAGGGTAGTTTTAGGTTACTGCAGGGTGTCTTCTCTAAGGCACCTCCTTAGGGTAGTTTTAGGTTACTGCAGGGTGTCTTCTCTAAGGCACGTTCTTAGGCAAGGCAAGGGCAAAGGGTGTGGGCCAGGCTTTGTGTAACATACCAGCGTGCATCTGTCTGCTTGCGTGACAATTCAAGTTACAAAATCACTGACCAGTTATCTGCTCCAAGGTCAGCAAAGGGGCAGAAGACAGAACAGAGCTCTGGGCCCCTGAGGCTAACTTAAGAAATGTTGATCAAAGCTGAAGAAAAGAAGAAAAGATGGATGGCTACGGTCTGTGATGTACAAAAGCTTTAAAAAGCAAAGCTAGAACATTCTGTGTACAAAAAACACCACGTGAGCCATGCATGGTGGCACATGACTATAATCCTAGCTACTCAGGAGGCTGAGGCAGGAGTAAGACAGCAAGTTTGAAGCCAGCTTGGGCAACTCAGTGAGATTCTATTTCAAAATAAATAAAAAGCTCTGGGGATGGAGCTCAACAGTCTCTGGGTTCAAGCCCTGCTACTACAAAAGTCAAAACAAAACAACCAACCAACCATACAAACGCTTATTTTTTTAAAAAAGCACACATGCATATTCCCACTCCCACACTACAAACAATAAAAACCGACAGTGTCAGTTCCACACACAGAGGACTATAAATGAAGCTATCTCAGTCACACACTTGAAGTTCAACAGAAACTTCTCAGCGCCCGTGTCGTAGATTGTGACCCCTCCTTGGACATTTTGAATATTTATATTTTCTCTTCTAATTGAATGCATTCTTCAGGGCAATCTGAGCAAGCTCCTCCCCCTCCAAGGTATAATAACCTACCTCAAGCCCCAGGGACTCATTTCTGTGACCACGTTTAGATTCTAACCAGGGACTCATTTCAAAAGTGAGCTTAAGGAGCTTTTACACAATTGGTGATGCTCTCTCTCACTGTAGAATGTAGAAAAGTTTTAACCAGAGGGAAACCCTATACTTCTTACTTGGCCTCAGCTTTGGAATTCTGGAGGAAGGCCTGGAAGCAAGGGCTGTGGGGTTTATTTGTGTTGTCTGCTTATATGTTTTCTTTTAAGCAATAATGTACTCAGTCAGAGGCGGTTCTCAGAGTTCAGTTCTGTCCATTTCAAGGAAATGCAAAACCAATGGAAAATTACTACTGCAATTTTTAACAAGAAAACCCACCCTCACTTAGGAATCACAACATTGAAAAAAAATTTTTTTAATAAGCGAAACCATCTCAAGGAGGCTGCTTTATTCAACGAACTCAACAACAGCCAGCAACTTGCTATTTTGAAGTCAGTTCTTACTAATCGTGATTTTTATAGGCACAGAAGCAGAATAAGGAAAGACTCTGCTACCTAGTCCCACACTGCCATAGAACACTTGCGAGGACACTTGAGGACAATTTGGAAAAGGTGGAAAATTTCAAAATGAGACCATTTTGGCAACAGATAAAGGAAAGAATGGGAAAAAAAGAGTTCCATTTCTTACTTAATTTGCAGTAAAAGCCATTTAATAAGACCATGTCCCACCCCAGAGTAGTTCTGTAGCCTTGATTAAGGCCAGGGAGAGTTTGATGCTAATTTGCCTTAAGACACATCCAGATTGCCAAACTCACAGAAGCTAGCGCTGGGTTGCTCTGGTAAAACACACGTCCAGGTATATAAAGCTCTTAAAATAGTGCCTCATACATAGTGAGCGCTCAAAAAATCTTAACTGTTGTTTTTACCTGAGGCACCAAGGCACACTTCCTGCTTCCTGGTCCAGCCAGAGCTGCACGGTAAAGCAACATCTGAGTGTGTTTTGAGCTGCAGCAGGGCCAGCTTGGAGGGGAGAGCCGGGACTACTCATCCTGGGGATGACGCTGCTGAGGAGGGCAGTGTGGCCGCCTCAACCACCACTTCCTCGAAGCTTTCTTGGATCAGTCTAACTCAGGCTCCATCCTACTCGTGAATTTTTAGTGTGCCTCACCAACTCTAACACTTGCCATTCCTCTTCTGTTCTCCTAGGCGGCAACTTGAGAAGGGCCTTAAAGCGTTGGCTGTATGGGATTTGAAACATTCTCCCGTTGGAGGTCATGGCCCTGGGCCACAAGGAAGGTGGCCACAGAGTCCAGAAGTGTGCTGTGCAGATAAGCTGGGGACCAGCCACTGCATCCCTCAGCCCTCACGTGTGTGGGGCAATGCACAGACACACCATCTGTGGGGGCAGGCCAGGCCTCTGGGGTCCCTTCCCAGGCCTGCTCCTGCTCTCTTCCTTAAGAGCTGTGCTTTGTTTCCTCAGAACAGGCGGGGACACTTAAGCTCACCTATGCCACCAGGCACTCAGCCCAAACCTGACATCACAGAGAAACCAAGAGCAAAACAGTGGGGCTATCTGAGATTACAAGCCCAGACCTCAGAAGGCCAACTGCTTTAAAGAAGTTGGCAGACTACTCCTGCTAAGTAAGGAAGGGATTGTTTACAACTGCTGGGAAAAAAATACCCAGCAAACAAACAGCCAGCTGCTCTGCTTAGGAGATTACTGAATGATTCCTACACTGTGACTCATCAGAGAGCCACAGGTGGTCACTGCACTGATCAGGCTGTGGTCACGATGCCTGCTGAGTGTGCCAGCTCTGGCTCAGGTGTGAAAGGGCAAGAAAGCAAGGAGGCCCAGGAAGGGGACAAGGGTGGGAAGCTGTCTGAGTCCAGCCTTAGTCTAATCCCCTGGGGTAGGAAGAAGGATCTTCAGGTCTTCCATACTGTGGAGAGTGACAGCAGCCTGCCTACCTCCAGGAACAGCGAGGAGGGGGTGTGAGGATGGAGGCCTGTTACAAATGCACCCCTGCTGCGTGATTACCTGCTGCCTGCAGGCCTATTCCAGTGTGCGCCCTGAGCTGGCTGCT